GCCTTTTCAACAACTGGCAGGGAGGGGACTGCTCAGCTGAACTTGGCTTTTCAAGGCTGCCACTCTTGACCCCCTACACACATACGCACAAAAACTTTGAAAATAACTACATGCCAGACAACAGACACACAAACAAAACATATCTGAACTTTGGGGTCACTACACAGTCTTCTAAAAAAACTCAAGGGATGCTACTGATCTTCATATACACACAGATCACTTCTAAGCAAACATTGTGAGAAACTACAACAAAAAACCAAAGAGTTGTGAAACCCTCATAATTACATGGCCCAATTTATCACATCAGTTGCTATACTCACTATATTGCTCACACACTGCGGCAACGGCACATTAAGTCTTCCACAAACTCTGCTGAAGTGTATCGTGACTAATACACAACACACCTAGACACAAAGAGGAAACGTATGGACGACCAGTACAATGGCATACTGTACCTCAACAAACTGGGGGAAAAAAAGACAGACCCCAGATATAGCCATTTCTTTACGTGTTTATTACTTTAAAAGGAAACATATTACTGGTGCTTTAGAGAAAATCCGATATAAACAAAAAAAAACCCGCTGGATGTACCTATGTTGCCATTTAACTGCTGACTAGGGAGGAAAGTCTGCTTACACACACTAAGTCTAGCTTAATTTTTCTGTGGATGCTTGCTGTGTTTCAACTTTTAAATCACTTCAGCATTCCACTGTAATTAACGCCATTCAAAAATAATAGTAAATCACATGTAAAGAAACCCATGTTATTCTCTACTTATTAAAAAAAAAAAAAACCCACCATATAAAACATGTCCTAATGCTCTTTCTGTTCAAACATTCCTTTATCCATTTTACTTACAAGCGAACGTTAGTTGCTGTAGCTATCTTGAAAGAAATCAAGTAATCAGAAGCAATCATCAACCTAAGCATTTCCTCTGCCTTGAGCAATGACTGTACTGGTTCATTTTAGAACAAACCCACCATTCAACTTGGTCTATAACAATTTATCTTAAATGACTCAAAGTAATCATGACATTCTTTCTATGAGCAGTATAGCGAAACATAAAGCATAAAGCAAAACAGAAGACTAATAGATGTTACGCGTTTTAATATTCTATCTGCTTGTAAAAAGCTGACATCCATATAATCAGCGTAATTTAAAATATCAAAGGCTTCATTTAATCTTAGATAACTTCAGTTTACATTCCATGTTTCACGAGTGGCGCTGCTAGGTTCAGACCTAACCACTTCGGTTTGGTCAGCTGTAACATGTAATCTGAGAGACAAGATGTGAATTTCTAGAGGTTGCAAAAGAAAACCACAATTTTTTAATTCTAAGAGTAAGAGAATTTTTAATTCTAAGTGTTAAAAAAAAATGAAACTATGCAAGGTATTAAAAGCAGTTCAGTTCTTTCTGCTGTTAATTTTTATGTTCTCACCAGACTTCTCAGTAGGAGAAACTATTACAACTAGTTTATTCAAAAAATGACTTTAGAAAATGTACAGATTCCCCATACAGCGTGTAGTTCTTTTAACACTTAAAAGAAGTCATTTTAAAATGAATGCAAGTTCTGTTGAAGAGACCATTAAACATTCTCATGTTGCTCCGAGAACCAAAACTTTATGGCAGTTGTCATATCAGAGGGGGATAAAAAAAAACCCAACCACCTTGATAATGTAACTCATTGTGCAAAGTACTCCCAAAGAAAAAGGGAACAAGGGTTATGTCTTCAATGATCTAAAATGCCATTAGAAAGACACAGGAAGAGATTTCTTAAGATAGGCTTTTTATTGTTTAGGTGCAATCATAAAACCCTCACAAAAGTAAGAGCTAATTGACAAGGCGGGGGGGTCATTATTATCAAAAATCACCTTATTACGATCTTAAGTAGATGCATTACAGATGATGACTTCTTTAAATAGATCAAGACAAAAGAAACTAACACAGGAGGAAAACAACCCTCAGTTTTGTTTTTCTTTTTTTCCACCATTACACATAGTATCTGTTCAATTTTAGAAAACCAGACCAACTACCAGAAACATTTACAGGTTACAGAGCATTTCGTTAGCGGAAAAGAAAACAAAATTAAAGATAACCCACCCAAGCCTGGTGTTTTCAATTAAGCAAAAATCCCTATTACACACCCACTAAATTTAATGGGAATTTTACTTAAAAATTTCAGGATTACATATAAAGGGTAAAATCTTAACCCCACCAAAATAGAGACAAAACTCTCATTTGACTTCAACAGAAGTGAGAGCCACCATGAAAGTCATATCATTGTTGGGTATAATCTGTCATAAATATACTGAAATAAATAATTTACACTACATGAGAAAAATTAGTGTAAATGACTCCATAAATAATGAAAACCATATACAGTTCATAGGTTTTTAAGCAAAAAAGCAGTCATAATTTAAGAACAAAGGCTAGTTACCAGCAAGTAACAAGATTTAACTGACCAGTAAGAGTATTATTTTATTTACACATCAAATGAAGGCAAGTGTTTCTCCAATTCTTAAATATTTGCACACTTCCAGAACACAGTAAAACTAAACGAACCGATAATTTCAAGCAACCTTTTCATTTTTCTGTTTTGACAGGAGCTGTGGATGCACTCACTTGCTCTTGCCACGACAGGATAGCATGGACAGATATTTCCAAAAGCAGAGCACTCCCTACAGCAGAAGCAAGTTACTGATAGCAGAGAGACAAGCTACACGTGAAAACCAGCCACCTTTAAATGATACAAATAATTTCCCTTGAAACACTTATCCACACAAAAACATCTACTGCTACAGACCTCAAGGAAGAATTCAAACTGTTTTTTTTACAGGTGTTTTACACAAATCAAAATATTCATTTACCGAGAAGGTAATTACAAGGAGCTTGTTTGTATACCCTGTAATTGTTTGTATACCCTCATACACTAACAGATTCTCCTGTTCTAAATATTAAATATATGTGGAGTCTCCATTGCTTTAAAACTGCTAGAAACCTCTCCTGGTTTTTGAAGAAGTAAAGCTTCTCACTTTGCTACTATAGTTAAAAACAAAATTTGAAAAAAGTGCAAACAACTCGGTAAACAATGCTGACTATATTAAAGCTCTCTCTTGTGCAAACCATTAATTTTTACAAAGTTACATTCTCTCAAATCTACCTGAATTACTACTGTGTTAAAACAATCCTGCTTATGCTCAAAATACAGTTTTCTTTAAATTGCATATGCGTTTCTCTGTTACACATGAAATTCTTTGTAGTCTCCCAAATCACAACGTTCAAAATTCAAATACGCGGGCACGCTACTGGGTGACCTTTTTAAGCAGTGGCAGAAGTCCTTCCGTCAACAAAGTTCGGTGTGAAATCCCAAGGAAAGCCAAAAGAGAAACTAGGAAATTTGCAAATGTTAACGACTTGATTCGACTTGCACCGATCAAGCCCTTTGTGATATATTCCTCCTTCCCCATGCCATGACTTTTCCAGTTTGCCCGCCACAAGTGCAATTAACCTGAAACCCTGGGTTTGGTACCTAACCCTGCACGTTGCTTACTGATGATGCTCGTGTTGAGTTTTGCCCTTACCACCTTGGCCCAATGTTGGCCCCAGTCACCCGCGAGCCCCCCAGCCCTGGGTACACGCAGCAGTGGGGGAGGCGGGGGGAGAGGGGGGGCGCAGGCTTCTTAGGAAAGCAGGGTGGTGGGGAAGTCAGCCTCGCCTCCTACAGGGAAATTAAATCTCAGCGAGCTTCCCCCAGAACGCTTCTCGGGCTGGTCTGTGTTTAGAAGCTTACGGGAAAGAGGAAAAATAAATATGCATGCAGATTAATTATTAAAATAAGGCAAGCCTATAACCACCCTTTGACAAATACATAGCAGAACTGAACCCACTCCCCCGTACGCCGTGTACGGCATTAAGGCGGCTATGTTTATTGCATTATCCTTTTGTTTACTGGCGCTCCCATCCATTCCAGGTTTTCCCAGTAACTGGTGCCCGCTCCCCTCCCCCTGCCCCCCCTCCCGCCTTAGGGTCAGCAGTTTGGGGAATGTTGTGGAAACAGCTCTTTCCCAACATGGGGCTCGTTTTGCAGTTGGGGCCGTCGGTGGCTCAAGAAGAACACCCCATTTTTGTGAAAAACCAGTTTGCAAAGCCAAGGGCACGACAGTTCGTAGGTGCCCGGGACGGCAATCCCATGGCGGGAAGAGGGGAGCGGGAACTGCGGCATCCCTGCCGCTCCAGGTCAAGTCACTGGGATGCTGAAAACGACCCCAGGGAAACGAAAAGCCTCAGCCAAACAACGCTCTGCCCTCGACCTTTCAGAGTCACGCAGAGCGAGCGTTCATCGCTTCAAACTCTGCCATTTCACCCAACGATCCTCTCCTCTTAATTAAGGTTCAAAGCTTGCCCTGCAAACGGCGGATCTCTCATCTTTTCCATCTTCCTGTACTTCCTGTCAAGAGAGAAAATATTTTCTTCTCCACAATCAACTAGCCACTAAGAAAGGAGAAGGAAAAAAAAAAACAAACAAACAAAAAACCCTGCAAGCGGCTCTTCCAAACTGTCGCCGTTTGCTTATTACTGATGAGCCCTATCAGCACGGTGAATACAGAAGCGATACCTGCTCCCCCTGCAAGCAACTGCTTTTACGCCCTCCGTCCCTCCACCCAGCTATCCCCTCCACCCAGCTACCCCCGTACACACCTATTACCGCTGGAGATGCCTAGGGGTTGGATGTACCATGCCTCGCATGAATTCAAGAGCAAAGAGAATCCCTACGGCGTCTCAGCATTAACTTCTCATCCCTGACAGACTGGCTGTTCCGTGCCCTCCTCAACCAGCCCCCCGGTTGTGTACAAATTCTGCTCTCAATTTACAACGTTTTCGGGGCTGGTGGTTTGGGTTTTGTTTGTGGTTTTGTTTTTTTTTTTTCTTTCGAAACAGCACAACTAGCACCTCAACAAAGGAACAGCTACATCATTAAAACCTGAATTCTCTCTCTCACCCTAAGTTTCAGATTTCTTCCGTTTGCTTTTGTCTCTGAACACCCAGCGTTCGCAATCCCCGTAAAAGCAAGCCAACCAACTGGTCATTCGCACTGGGACCGAGCTGCCAGCTGGAACACAGACGCACACCACCATAGGGTGGGCCTTTAAGGGAAATGTGCGATACAACATGCAACAGCTCATGCATATAGTGACTTCTGGAAAGAATTCTTTTCTTTTTTTTTTTTTTTTTTTTTTTTTGAAAATCACATTCCACGCTCACCATGATTTACTGTTAAACTTTTGCAAGAGATAAGGTATTTCAAAACCAAGATATTAAATTTATCCTTCTCATTTTGGTATGATTGACCTTCCCAGCTAGAGAGCCAAGGATTTTTTTTTTTGTAATCTGATGTCCTCAGTCCAACAATCCTGTTTCTTAACTCAATCATTTTACATTTTTAAATAGTATTTAGAAGCTGCATTAACATAAACTATTTTGGTCACATTTTCCAAACACTTTCCAAAATCTTACATAAGAAAACTCTGAAGTACAGCCCAAACATAGTAACTGTGTAAACATTAGCTTCTGTTGGGGTACCCAGAAGTACACACTCAAGAGTAATAGCACAGTAGAATTGAAACGTGAAGAAATATCCCAAAATTAAACTTTTTCCTCACACGAAGAGCCAGCGGGTTCCTCCGAGACTGTTCATTACAGGACAAGCGAGGAGGGACAGTGCTCTACCCGACAAAACACAGCCCCGCAGTGAGAAACAAACACCAAGCACAAGCACGCGTGGCAGGCACTGTCGGACGTAGCTACTCACCTTTCACAGCACTCGCTTCTTTCAGGTTGTGAGACAGAAAGTCTATGCTGGCATAGGCGCTCATCTCCACTCCGTTGATGCCCCCGTTCAGGACGTGCCTGGCTTTTGACCTGGCTTTGTCACAGTTTGCCAGGGTCCCGTCCACCACGTCAATGGCGATATAGTTGAGGCCGTTCTGGAAGCCAGCCGAGGTCTCCCGGCACATGGGGCTGCTACCCTGCTCCTCCTCCAGGCCTTCGCTTTTCCTGAGGGACACGTTCTCCACCGAGGCCGAGTTGTGCCGTTTGGGGTTGTGTGCGAAGGAAGGGGACACGGGGGTCACAGTGGTGGTGGAGGAGAAAGTTTCCGAGCTGTGCCTCCTGCGCCCCTGGGGATCCGCCCGGATGACCTTGGCTCCCCGGTTCGGGTCTGGGGGAGGGCTGGAGAGAATGAAAGCCTCCACCCCTGAGAGGGTGAGCCTCTTCACCCCAGCCGTGGGGCTGGCGACCCGGGCACTTTCTGGCTTCTGAACGATGGGTTGGGGTGGGGTGGTGGCCATGCCAAAGGTCATCTCGGTGTAATCCCCCCCGTCGGACGGGCTGGACGAACAAGCCACCCCCACAGCCGCCTTCAGGTAGTGCCCGTCGGGCTGGCTGGTGCTGGAGGAGGAGCCTGGCGAAAGCGCTTCCAGGGAGCCCACCGAGACGGTGCCCGACTGGGAGGGTGACTGTGACCCGAAGTCAATGTTCATGTAGTCAGAGAGAGGGGAGCGCCTCTGCCCCGTGCCCGAGCCCAGGGAGGAAGCCGGGCTGTCGGCGGGCAGCGGGGGGGGCGAGTAGACGGCAGCATCCCCAAAGTCGATGTTGATGTATTCGCCGGGGCTCTTGGGCTCGGGCGGCAGAGGGTGCTCGTTCATGCTGGGCAGCATCGTCCGCAAGGTCTCCAAAGAGAGGCGGGTGGGGCGGGGCGCCCGCTGGGCCCGCCGGGCCCC